CTGACAGGCACCCTTCTAAGAATTAGGGACAAATAAGACAAAGTCCTGTTCTCAAAGAGCTCCCATTCTGGGGATAGGGAGACAGGTCATACACCATATGTAATTAACATTTATAGGTGCTGGATGGCAATCAGTGCTAAAGAGAAACCATGGAAGGGGCATAGGGAGTGGAGGGTTGTGGTCAGAGACAGCATCGCTAAGAAGGTGACGATTGGCAAAGACCTAAAGGAGGTGAGGAGTCTAGACCTGGAGAACAAGAAGTGTCCAAAAGGAATATCATGTCCAAATGTCTCAAGTGCAAGGAAGGATGGCATTTCTTGGAACACAAGGAAGGTGAGTGTAATTGAAGCAGAGAGAGTGAAAGAGAGTGTGACACAAGGTAAGTGTAGAGAACTAGATCTACGCTGGATCAAGAACCCCTTGGTCACATGTTAAGGCTTTCATTCCACCCTAAGAGTAAAGGGAAGGCATTGATGGGTAAATATGATGCTAATAAAGATATATTTGGGTTTTCATTTTTTAAATATATTTTTATTGATTTCAGAGAGGAAGGGGAGAAAGAGGAACAGAAACAACAATGATGAGAGAGAACCATTGATTGACTGCCTCCTACACACCCCCTACTGGGGATCCAGCCCACAACCAGGCCATGTGCCCTTGACAGGAATCAAACATGAGACCCTTCAGTCTGCAGGCTGATGCTCAAACCAGCTAGGTCTGGGTTCTTATTTAAAAGCAAACAAACAAGCAAACAGACACTGACTTCTTAAAAGAGAATAGAGGAATTGAGGAAATTGTGGGAGACTGAGTAAGTAATGGGTTAATGGTGGTGCTTCCTATGACCCACACAATGGCTTGTACTATGATGGTAGCAGGAGGGATGAAAAGCAGAAAAAAAAGATTTAAGACCTAGAATTGACACATTAGATCTTAGGTATAAAGGAGAAACCACTGTCAAAGATGAGACCCAAAAATTTGGTATGAAGTATTGGATGATTAGTGGGGTCATATTCTGAAATATAAAGGACTAGATGAAGAGCTAGTTTGGCGATTAAAGTGGCCTTGAGGAGGTGGAGCTCAGTAGCCTCAGGAGCTCAGTTTTGAAAAGTCATATTGTTGTGCGTGTGAGATGTCCAAGAAACTACTGAAAAGGATAGTGTTTCACATTTTACTTAAATACATCAACTGAAATTTAAGGGTAAACATATGGTAAATGCTAATCTTATTTTAAAATAATTATTGTAATCCTTATAATCTTTTCCAAATAATTATTGTATACTATGATTGAGATTATTTTTTGCATAATAGATCATATTCACATATTTCAAGTATAAATTTCACCTTAGTTATAATTTTTCCAAACTTTTTATTAAGAAATGAGATACTTGTTAATAAGTACAAAGTATAAGACTATGTGTTTTCATTTCCAGTTGTAGTTTCATGTTTAAAGTAAAATGATGTTTGTGGTCTCCACATACGTTAAAATTCATATAAAAAGTAAACCAATATTCATATCCATAGTAAACAGAAAATTATGTCAAAAAGGCTTAAAATATTTACTCAGGTGGTATTAAATAACATATAAATAACATGTCATAGGAGAAAAGGTTCAACAAATTTGCAAAATTGAAATGTGTTTTTTTTTATAAATTTTTTATTCTGCCTCTTATTCATATAACTTATTGTATATTCTTAGGTCTTTCAGAAATTCTGAAAATTGTCTGGACAGCTGGATATAAGTTTGTTCCATTTTAAACTTGACATATTATGTATGACTTGAAATTATAAGCCTTTCAATCAAATAGTTAATCCCTTGGACTTGGAATTGAAAGTCCGACAACTCAAAAGAAAATGTAAGGAGAAAAATATTTAAAGTTTGAGAAAAACAAAAGATATTTTGTAAGATATGAAAATCAGGAAACCAGATAAATGAGCAACTGTAAACTGTTGTACTATGTCACTATAAAATAATCCACATGCTCTCAAGAGAGACTGAGAGAGGATTTGTTTATTGATTAGTTTGTCAACTTCAACCTCTGGAATTGAAGAGTTGTATCTTGAAAAATAAAACATTATGGGCTAATCATATAACATTTTGTTTTATCTAATGTTATTGCTCCCTTATCAATTTTGACACATGCATCCATAACAATTATAATTACAAAAGATAAAAGTTCCTCCATCTCCTCTGCAATCATTTAACTGCTCTAAAGATGCATCTCACATTTCCTAGCTGACCCAAAATTTCTCCAGGAAGGGTCCTCTGTGTGCAGCTGTTCTCACAACTTTGATGTAATTAAACAATAACTTCAGATAGACTAGATTAAACATATTCTGTTTCCTGCAGAGACCCTGATACCAATGAGTTTGCACCTCCCTTTTTCTTGAATTTTTTCTCACCTAGCATGGCTTTCTCAAAATTAAAAAAAGAAAATTCTTTTTCTACCTTTAAAAATCTTATTTTTCTAAGCTATGGAGCAACCAACCACTAATTATATTTATGTCAAAAATTGCCATTTTTAATAACCTAATAATCAGAGGAAAATCATTGGCTATGGCTTAATTTCATATTCTACATGAAGGGCAAATTTATAGGAAAACAGAAATGTGCAAAAAATATTTCCAAAGCTCAGATTTAACTTGCACAGAATTATCTTTGTGCTTTTATATTTTTGTGTTGTTCTACTCTTTTTAGCCTCAAATTTTTCAGTGGGATGATTAATAGATATATTAAGTACAAGTTAACTTGCTAATAGTGGAATCATATAGTTATATAT